TGTTATTTTTCAAGAAGACATTGCCTATAAAAATTGCATATAAAAGGAAAAAAAAAATGGGTCCAAGGCCAAAAAAAAAAAAAAATAAGCCGCCAAAAAAAAAAAAAAAAAAAAAAAAAAAGACAACCAGACAAGCATAAAGGCTTAATTCAGTTAATTGTAATTCAGTAGCACCAGACCAATAGGTTTTCGGTTGAAAATTGGTTCTACCTACTTCTCGCCAAGCCGACTGAGTCAACCCACTGAAACTCGCCCGAGATGACTCACAATCGGATTGGGTTGTCTTGTAGTTGGTTTACTATCCATCAAAATCCCCCCAATCACTTCCATTCCCTTTCTCTTCGCTTTTCCTCTGAAACAATCGGAAAAGCTCTTTCTCCACTGAGGGGAAGAAGCCGTCTGGGAAAATCTTTCTGCGTAAGGGAAATTTAACAGTTTCGAACATTCCCTCCTCCAAAACACCAATCTTGAAGGGAAGAAATGTCTCACGTACTGTTCCAAACAACCCCACTTCCCAAAACCTTGTCTCCAAAGCCCTCTCTGCCGCCGCCAGTGGTCCATGCGACTGTGGGGAAGTTGTGGAGGAAATTGTCGCTGAGGTGCTCCTCTCCCGCCTTGATCGACGGTGGGGATAATGCCCGCGCTGTCCTTGAGCGCTGCTTGTCGATGCCATCGGCTCCGGTGGAGCCCGTTCTGTCTTCTCATGTTTCTGGGTTGGCGGGCGGCCCGGTGATGAAGGGACCATATGGTGCTTTCGGTGCAACCACTTTAGAGAAAGGGAAGCTAGAGATTTCAAAAGAACAAAAGCAGGAGTCTTCTCCTCAGGTCAGTGTTTCCTGTTTCGTTTTATGTGAAAGAGTGAATTTTCGCTTGTTGAAGCATATTTTCAGAATGATATGTATTCAATTCCAAGATTAGGAGCAAGAAGCCCTTTTGGAGAACTTAAAGATTGAATTTTTACTTGGGGTTTACGTGTAGAAATAAGTATAATTCCACTTTTATGGGATTTCTTTGTTTAGCTTCAAGTTTGAAGCAATTCGTTTGGGGGACTTCTGTTTTTCTTAGTTGAAGTGTGGCTCTACAGTGTTACTTTAGTTTTAATTCATGTTTATCATTCGTGCCAGATTTGAAATTTCAAGCCTATTGAATGTCTATATGACTATAAATAAAATAAAATAAACTGTAAATTGGTAGCATTGCATAAATTAGCAGTTCACTTTGTTTTTTTGGAGCATTCTTGGGACAATATCATTTACTGCTAACCGGTTAAACATTGGCTTCAGGTTTTAATTTAAACTTGGAATTTCTTCTTACCGTTGGTTATCCCACCTCATTTTCTATGGAACTGATAACAGTTTTGGACAAAGCAGCTAATTTTGTTTGACCAGTGCAGCTTGCTACTGGAGGAGGTGGTGGAGATATTGGAAAGAAAATCAATCATGGTGGCGGGGATGGTGGTGATGATGATGGCGATGATGATGATTACTTTGATGACTTTGATGATGAAGATGAGGGAGATGAGGGTGGGTTATTTAGAAGACGGAAATTTCTTCAAGAGGTAGGAGCTAGAATTGCCCAAACAGGCACAATCATGATGTCTTCAAGAAATGAGTTTCCATGTGAATTATTAATGATTGATGACCTTTCCTTATGCAGCTTTTTGATCGAAAATTTGTGGATGCGGTATTGAATGAGTGGCACAGGACAATGATGGATTTACCTGCTGGCTTCCGACAAGCTTATGAGATGGTGTGCTCTTTTTTGTAATTATTAATTATGGTTAAGTATTCTTGGCCAGATACTGACTTAATCCTTGCTTTCCTGCCTGCAGGGGCTAGTCAGTTCAGCGCAAATGGTAAAATTCCTAGCAATGAATGCTAGACCAACCACTAGTAGATTTATTTCTCGAGCACTTCCTCAAGGAGTGTCTAGGGCATTTATTGGCAGGTAATCTTAGAGCGGTAGCTATAAAACTTTGTATATCTTAGCAGCTTACATTTAAAAGATTTGAACATTTTTGTGAATTTTTTGCCTCTGCCAACTAAGTCACTGGCAACATTTTCTTCTGCTTTTTTGCTTTTCTCTTTTTGTTAATTGATAATATGATGCTTTTCTCTTATCTTACGAACCATGTGAGTGAGCATATTGTGTTCTGGCATTCAAACAGATGCAAACTCACCTTGCCTTTCAATTTGACAAGTCAAGAGCTAAATGTTTTATGTGTAGTCTATGAGCTGTAGGTCAATTGACTAATTATGAGATTCAGTTGAGCATATATGTTTTCAGCAATATCACTGAATGGATTCATTGAAAAATATACATATTGTTTTTTTTTTTTTGTCTAAACATGAGCAGGTTGTTTCATACTTTTAAGTTCTGTTGTGATTTTCTGTATTTTAGCTGTCTTAACTGTAACCTTGTAATGCAATTGAGTGTCATAATTTATTCTACTCACTGAAGTTCAAGACACATTACTTGAGATTTTATCTTGAAGCTCAACTGTGTGTGTAATCATGCATCTTCACGGATCACACACTAGCATTATTATACTTTCTTTACATACTTCCATACTTCATCCCAATGAACAAAGCCTTAACACTGTAGGATTGCTTTAGAAGTGTCCCTCCAAAATTGTGAATGCTAGTATATTTGTTTCTAAGTGTCCTTGATTAAGGACGTAATCAACAATGTGGCATCTAAGTGCTTAGTTACTTATCTCTGCAGTTTGAGGTGAATGTTAAACAGTGTGATGCACAAATGCTTATAATTTATTTTGGGATCACTTGTTTAATAATCTTCTCTTCTCAGGATGCTTGCAGATCCTGCATTTTTATATAGGCTTCTTTTAGAGGAGGTTGCTACCGTTGGCTCCTGTGTTTGGTGGGAGATCAAGAATCGAAAGGATAGGTGCCTCTCTTATGAGATTAAGTAACTTCGACATTTTCCTTTTATTCAATAAGTTGAGCTAAATAAACTTTATCTTTATTTGGTTATAGGTTAAAGCAAGAATGGGATCTAGCACTTATTAATGTACTCACAGTAGCAGCATGCAATGCTGTTGTTGTTTGGTCACTTGCTTCTTGTCGTTCATATGGTAATACATTCCGGTTTGACTTGCAAAACACATTGCAGAAGCTTCCAAACAATATATTTGAACGCAGTTACCCACTTAGAGAATTTGATTTGCAAAAGAGAATTCATTCTCTTTTTTACAAGGCTGCGGAGTTGTGTATTGTTGGATTAACTGCAGGAGCAGTACAAGGTTCTTTGTCAAATCTTTTGGCCAGCAGAAAGAAGGAAAGGTAAGTAATTTCACCTTTTATGATTCGATTTCTTGTTTCATTTGAGAAATTCTCTTGTTTTTCCTCGGCAATTTTAACAGTGGGATATTCTTTAACTGCAGGTTATCTGTCACAGTTCCAACTGTGAGTTCAAATGCGCTTGGTTATGGTGCTTTCCTTGGACTCTATGCAAATATGAGATATCAACTCTTATGTGGGTTCGACCAAGCTATGATAAATCATTTTGATGTCATTGGAGTGGGACTGTTCTTCAGCACAGCTTTGAGGTCTCCCTCTCACATTTACTTTCTGCTAATGCATTTTCATGATTTTCTCATTCTTAACTTTGCTCGAGGCAGTATGCATTTCAGATTTTGAGAGTATGTACTTAAACTAGAGCCCTAGCATCATTTAGGGTTTCTCAGGTCCTATTTGATCGAGCCGCTTCTCATTGTTCCTTTTATTAGTTGTTAGCTATCCTTGTTATCATGGGTAATTAAACTAGATCAACATTACTTCCAACTCTACAATCACAAGCAATGACAGATGATTATTAAATTTGAAGTCATGTGACATGTTTTTATTGGCTGCTTCTGATTGATGCATTACTATGCAGGATTTTGAATGTCCAATTAGGAGAGAGATCAAGGTTGGCTTGGCTAGGGATTGAAGCAGATCCACTTGCTCAATCAGATAACCTCTTGAATGCTTACAACAGGCATTCCGAGGGCGTGACTAGGTCATCTTCAAAATGGTTTATATCCAAAAATGCTATTGTTTCTGGTCTTGGACTCCTCGGTATCAGACAGAACGTAGAGTCTGCAGATGGTGAAACCAGTGCTCCCAAGCCCCGAAGAAAGAGGATTGTCCGAAAGAAGGTGTCTGCAAGCTCATCATAGTTTAACAACTTTAGTCAAACATAATCACCATTGCCATCCAATTTTGCTGCCTGAGGGAGACACTTCAATGAAGAAAGACTGCTTCGAGTTGGAGGTACAGATGATGTGCAATATATGTTTATTGCAGATCTTGCAAGATGAACACCAAATGGTTAGGCAGAGGATTGTTTTGAGGGAGAGTTCTTGAATTCTTTTAGGTCCCTTTTTTTATGTTAAATATTTGACATGTTCAATGGAGTTGTATACCCTGAAATTTGAGCCTTAATTAATTTGTTCTCATCGCTAATAATTTTGAAATTTTGAGATGGATTATATTTTGCCAACAGGGAGAATAAAACGTTCTGATCAATAATTTGAATCATGTCTGTTTCGTACAAGAAATCACAAGAACATTTACCAATATTTTCTGTGAAGAATCTTCTACTTATTTATTTGAAGCCCTTGATTAAGGAAAATAATTTATGAACAAAGTACATTTGTTTGGGAAAGCAGAGTAGGGCATGTAACCCAACACCCTGCTCAGGAACCAACTGGGTTACTACAGCCTGAGTGCAATGGAAAATAATGAACTCAATGTTTTCTGACGATGAAATCCTACAATCTATTGATTTTTTATTTTATTTTATTTTCAATCTGTTGGACGCATAAATCAGTGTGCATTCCTTTGTTTGATGTCATGTAACCTTATTGCATTAATTAATGCAATTTAAATGTTTGACTCCATCTAAAAAAGGGAAAATTGTAATTTAACTATTTGTAATATGAGATAAGTGCATATAAAAACTTAGAGTTTTAAAATATGCGTATAACATATTTGTGATTTTGGATATGTATAGGTAAAGACCCAAAATATTAAATTATGCACATAAACACTTGAATTTTGCACTTGGTACGTATAACCACTTAAAATTTCTTTAAAACCCTTCACTTAAAAGAATGAAAAGAAAAGAGAAATAAAGGTATTTTCGACAATTTCATATAATTTCAAGTAATTATATACATTTAATACAAATCTTAGGTCTTTATTTACACATCTGAAAATCTTAGATCCTTATGTGCACCTACTTTAAACTACAAGTATGTTATATATACATTCTAAAATCTAGAGTCTTTTTATGCACTAATTATAAACTACAAGTAGTTAAATTATAATTTTCTCTTTAGAAAGAAAAAAAAAAAATCTATCTGTAAAGTTGGGCCTCCCAAGAGCCTGTGGGCCCTAAGATTGATGCGGCCCAGATACTTGGGCCTTTTTAAGCCCTTAATCACGGAGATTTGAAAATGATGTTGACTCTGAAATCGGTCTTAACAGATTTTCCTTTCCAGACCAATGTTGTCTTGACAGCGAATCTAACCCATCCACCCACTACAACCACCGTAATCGGCGGCGCGTGAGGTTCAGAATGGACCAAATCTCCTCAACCCTTCAATATTGGCTAGTAAACCACCCCAAAATCCTCAATTTCCGGTGGACTCCAGGCCAAACCCTCGGCTCCACTCCACTGTTCCTCACCGTCACAGTCCTCACCTACCTCTCTCTCACCTTCCTCCTCTCCCGCCTCCCTTTCCCCTCCCTCGGCTCCCGCTTCCTCAAATCCATCACCGCTCTCCATTCTCTCACTCTTTTCCTCCTCTCCTTAATCATGGCCGTCGGCTGCACTTTCGCCATAGTCTTCCATTCCCCTGATTTCCGCCACACCTTCTGTTTCCCTCCCCACACCCCACCCACCGGACCCCTCTTCTTCTGGGCCCACATCTTCTATCTCTCGAAGGTTCTCGAATTCATCGACACCCTTCTCATCATCCTGTCCAAATCGATCCAACGGCTGACATTCCTCCACGTCTACCACCACGCCACGGTGGTGGTCATGTGCTACTTATGGCTCCACACCTCCCAGTCTCTCTTCCCGGTGGCTCTCATCACCAACGCCACCGTTCACGTGGTAATGTATTTGTACTACTTCCTAACCGCCGTCGGGAAGCGGCCGAAGTGGAAGAGATTGGTGACGGATTTCCAGATTGTACAGTTCGTATTCAGCTTCATGGTGTCGGGTTTGATGCTGTACTACCATTTCGCCGGAGTAGGGTGCTCCGGGATGTGGGGATGGTGCTTCAATGCTGTATTTAACGCCTCTCTTTTGGCTCTGTTCGTTGATTTCCACGGCAAGAGTTACGCCAAGAGAAGGACGGGAGATAAAGATAAACGGTCGTGATTGCCTGTTATTATCGGACGGTTCAATTCCATTGTATTTTTCCAGACCACTCTTCATCCCCAAATAAAGTATGGAGGGTTTTGGAAAATCTCTTAAATATTTATATATATATATATATTTCTTTTTTTAACTATCAATGTTTGAAATCATATTAAATATCAATTAATATAGAAAATAGTTAAATTTAAAATTTTATTTAAAAAATTAAATTTATTTCATTTGAATCAATAAATCATTAATAAAAATTATTATTACTATTTTTGAACAAATTCGCAAATGATTAAATTCGAATTGTTACCTTGAAGAGAGGAAATGCATTTATATGTGGTTTGACGGCCAGTGCAATAAAAATTATTATTTGTAGTATAATTCAGCATAATATAAATTAATTAGATTATATAATATATTTTTATTTAATAATTATTAATATTTAATAATTTAAATTATAAACCTTTTATGAAAACAATTACTCCCTCCATTTTAGTCCACCTTTTGATTTTTCACATTTAAGTTAATATAAGTATTGCTTTTACATAATTTATATGATAATTAAAAAATGTAATGAAGTGAAACAACTTAATAAATATTTTATACATCAAATTTAAAAAATTAGGATGTTGAATTTCAATCACGAAGTAGGTAAGATATGATATAGATCTCATTTGAATTCCATCAATATATAATGGAGTGTGAAAATTATGCATTTGAATTCAATACAAGATTTACACTCAATCTAAAATCAATTGATAATAAGTAGAATAGATTTATGTTTGATGTAAGATTTTTTCATTTAACATGTGAACTCTAATATTATATAAAAATTGTGTATGTATGCTAAATACAAAACTTACATTTAACTTAAAATTAATTGACAATAAATGAAGTAATTTTTTTTATATTTAACTCATAAATTTTTCATTTTTATATTTGATATGAGATTTTCCTATTTGATGTGCGATTTTCCTACTCAATATGAAAATAAATTAGAGTGATTCTAACATTTTTAATGCTTAATGTTGGAATTTCTTGACTTTTACCTTTTCTAATAACAATAAATTCAATTTACATTTCTTCAATATCATATCATATATCGTACTTTTTTATTTTTCAATTAAAATTTAAAATATAAGTGGGACGGTTTCAAGCACCATTCAAAAAACAGAGAGAGAGAGGGAGAGAGGGAGAGAGGATGGGTTACACTTACAGTTAAAAATACTTCTTTTCCGTCTGATGGTGGGTTGCAGTAAGTGGGCCGTGATTCTCTACTTGTTGGGTTGATTTACTAACTATATGTGCATTGGACCTGTTTAGAGTAGCCCAACTTGTATTCACCCAAAAGAGACTCTCTTGGGAACCCAAAATTGAATCCGGTTTGGTTTCGTTTGATTTTTTGGTTTGCTTTGATTTTCAGTATTTTAACAAGGTCAATTTTTATAGGATTTTTTTAACAATTAGTATAAAATAAGTTTATGTTTTCCTCCTTGGTCGTTCCCTTTCTTTGGCTATAGTAGAATGTTAAGAATCTTCATTTTGTAAAATTAAGAGATTTGAAGTTTAATAATAAAATATAAAGTGGGTAAAATTTTAAGAAAGGATTACTTCTCATTTCATAACTTAAAAAACAAAAAAAAAAAAAACCCTTGAAACTAACTGTTCAACTTATAGTATATATTTAGATCGAAAGGAATGGACGGGAGGGGAATGGTCCTGAAAGGAGAGGAGGAAAGAGAAGGAGAGAAAGGGAGAGAAAATTTTTTTT